AGGTGGAGTATTGCTCTGTTGCCCAGGCTAGGGTGCAATGGCATGATATTGGCTCACTGCAACCTTCGCCTCCCAGGTTCAAGTGATTCTCCTCCTCCTTCAGCCTCCTGAATAGCTGAGATTTCAGGCATCCATCAATGTGCCCAGCTCATTTTTGTATTTTTAGTAGAGACGAGGTTTTACCATCTTGGCCAGCCTGGTCTCAAACTCGTGACCTCGTGATCCACCTACCTCGGCCTCCCAAAGTCCTGGGATTACAGGCCTAAGCCACCGCTCCCGGTGAGAAGCCTTTCTTACTCTAGTGGTGTGGGTTTTGACTCTTTTCCTCCCATCCTCTCACACGATGCACACACACTCAGACTTTCACTTCGAACTGATCACCATCTTGGGAGCCGCATCCTTGCTTGAATAAAATGGAAGCCGAATTGACTTTGAAATGAGAAGCTTCATAATGTAGCATCTGGACTTGAACTGTCCCATTTGTTTAGATGTTCTGCATTCTTTAGGATACTTCAGTGGGGGTTCTGGAACTAAAGTAGGCATAAACCTTATGGCAGGCCAAGCGTGGTGGCTCACACCTGTAATCCCAGCACTTTGGAGACTGAGGCATGTGAATCACCTCAGGTCAGTGTTTTTCGACCAGCCTGGCCAACATGACGAAACCCCGTTTCTAGGAAAAATACAAAAATTAGCCGGGTATGGTGGTGCACGCCTATAATTTCAGCTACTAGAAAGGCTCAGGAAGGAAAATCGCTGGAACTGCGGAAGCAAAGGTTGCAGTGAGCCGAGAACGCGCCACTGCACTCCAGCCCAGAGTGAGACTCTGTCTGAAAAAACAAAACAAAAACAGAACCTTCTGGGAGACTTTAAGCATTCTGAAGGAGGCAGTCAGGGAGGAATTTGTGAAATATTGTCCTCGATCCATCTGTAATGTCTTTTTTCCTACTGAATCATAGGCTGGGACTCTAGAAAAGCTCCAGCACGTCATGCTCCATTCTTTTTATACACAGGAGTCTATTTCTGATCTGTTATTTCCACATTGGAGCCAGGGAAGAGCCCTGGACTGTGGAGAAAATAGCAAAAACATCCAGATGGGTGGGATTTTTTTTTTTTTTTTTTTTTT